AAAAGGTGGCATACAACTGGTTTTGCACATATGACTTTGTCGCATTCCCTTGATCATGTGATCAAAATGTCAGTGCTTGGCAACAAGCATGTATTTAGAATGGTTGCAGCATCCCAAGGTCATGTGATGGCCATTTGCAACCTTCCTAGGATGCCTCTGACAACTAAAGTCAATGAGGAAAGCTGGATTCACTTAATAACCATATGATTCACTTAACAACTTCAGTTAGTCATTTAACAATCATGACAAAAAAGACTGTAAAATCAGGCATGTGTCACTTAAAAAACCCCTTGCTTAGTAACAGAAATTCTGGCCCCAATTGTGGTGATAAATCCAGGATTTACAGTATCTATTGTATAGAGTTTCAATCACAACCAACATCTTGGCTTATTTTTTCATACTTTACAGAAGTCTCTGTTACGGAGCCAAGTATCATTCTTGTAAATAATAATGGAGTTAGATGATGGCATTCAGTGAATTAACAACTGATGATGAAAGTATGCAGATGGTATATAGTTTTGTTTTTATTGGACTCAAGAACAATTTGCAATAGCAATAGCTATAGACTTATATACCATTTCACAGTGCTTTACAGCTCTCTCTAAGCGGTTTACAGAGTCATCCTATTGCCCCCAACAATCTGGATCCTCATTTTGCCAACCTTGGAAGGATGGAAGGCTGATTCAATCTTGAGCCAGTGAGACTCAAACTGCCCACAATTAGCAGAAGTAGCCTGCAGTACTACCACTTTTCCACCATGGCTCTTACAATAACAATAATTCGCTGGAAAAATAAGGAACACGTAAAATGTAGGAGATAAAAGCAACAAGCATCTTATCTTGACAGATAAGATAATAAAGGATAAAGAAATTTCTACTTACAACCAAGATCAGAATTCTAAAAGCAATTTTTCCCCAGTAGAAATTTATGATTGTGAATGCTGGCTATTGAGAAAGATTGAAAGAACACCTTTGAATTACAGATCTGGAGTTGTTACTGATAATGTTGTACCATGGCCTGCAAGAAGAATCAATAAATAGGCCTTGAGGAAAAAAATGAAAGACAGTTGAGACAATGTTCAGCAAGCAGAAATTCATAAACTTCAACATGGGATATTAGAAGGTGATGGATTAGGGATGGAAAAAGTCAGTTCTGCTTGGCAAATCTGAGAGCTGTAAAAAAAAAGAGACAGAGAAGCAATGGATGAGATGGATGGACATATCTGGCACATCCCTTGAATGTCCTCGGAAGAACTGCAGATTGTCGGTATAGATAAAGTTAGAGGACATCTGCCCATACAGTTACCAAGAATCTGACGCAGCTAGATGGTATCTAACTAATGTTGTTTTTCAGAACAGTCAGCTTCTTCCTTTCTTATTTATGTACTTACAGGTTCTCATCTAAAGTTCTTTTATTTAAAAAAAATGAATGGCCTTTGGGTTGGGAATGGAATGAAGCCTTTTGATGGGGAAGGGTCACAAACATTGCTTGCCCATGGCTGCAGCTAATGGTGGGTCACTTCCATTCAAAGTTCAACTCTATTGTGTGTTTTTTTCAAGTATAGTTTGTAGAGCCAGGATGAACACTTGATGAAAAATTTGAAAATGCTATGACAAAACATACATTTATAAAACTATCTACAAGAGGCTAACCAGTTTGGGTTATCTCATTTTGTTTGATTTCATTTACTTAGGATGGTATATGAAGTCAGCCATTTTGTAAAGCCAGCACTTTCAGGTACAGTGCAGCAGTGTAGCACAGCTGTTTCATGGGTGGACCATGGAAAATATGAACTAGAGAGAAAACCCTTCCCAAATCACTACTTGGTGCATCCATTTCATTGGTATTTAGTTCTCAGAGAGGTTTGTTACCCAACCTAGCTGCTGTCTCTTGATTGCCTAGAGGAAGTCCTTAGAAGGCCAACTTACATTGTTCTTTCTTAGAATTTTCTTAGAGTCATGGCTGTAGATTATGGGTGTAAAACTCGCATTGTCACAGCATTGTCACATGACATATTGCGTTTTTTTTTCCCCTTCGTTAAACCAGGCATGGGCCTGGCCAATACATGACGCATTCGGCCTATGGGCCACGAGTTTGACACCCCTGCTGTAGATTGATTTATCAGATATTTCACATTTATGGGGACTCTAAAACTTAATAAACTATTATTGAACCATGGAAGTTTATATAGACCTCCCAACATGTCATACCAATACGCAAAGGATTCCATTAAAAAAAAAGAGTATTATTTGTTTATTTCACTTCCTAACCAAAATAAAAATAGTCCTTTTATACTTTTACACTCACTGAGGCAAAATTCTGTTTTCCCACCTGCCAGTAGAGTTGTCAAAATAGAGACTTATTAAGGTCAACCATTATTCATGGTTTGCATCTCAATAGAAAGGACTTCTCAGTGGAAAGGTTTTGATGAAAGGAGGGGAGATCCTCAAAGAGAATATCCTCAATCTGGGAATTAAAATCATCCATAAGTGATGGAGATTACATTTTTTTTAAATGGATCTAACTTGTACAGGCAAAGTGGGCTTATGATCAAAACCAGTTTCAAGTTTTCCTCCACACTTCTTTGCTTGTAGAAACCTGTATTGTACTGCACAGTTGAGGGTACCGACAACTTTGAGAACCCTGTGAAGTACCAATTGAATTATAATTATTAGTTTTCTTTAAATTTGTCATAATTAAAAATTACCCTGTATATAATTAATACTTGAATTTTAATTTATATACCATTTTAATTATACTTAAAATTTGGTCTTAATTATTAAAATGAAAACTCTAGGCGAAACCTAGGCTCAATTAAGTCATTAATTTTGTTCATGGAGATACACAAATCCATTTGTCATTTCAGTGGGAGATGTCACAGTGTTGAAGGACCCCTGCCTTAAATAATGAGAAACAAGATGTCAAATGAGAATTTTATGAAAGGGAGGTGTCAAATAATGTTTACATAATTTTTATATACATAAAAGACAAAAACCAAAATAAATAAAGAAAAGGAAGAAAGAAAAGAAGAAAGAAAAAATGCAGAAAACAATCCACTTGTTAATAATTAAAGAAGTGACTTCTGCCCTTCTTTAGAGCAAATAATTACCTTTCTCCCTCCTTAGCATTACAATAATTCCTTCAGCCTCTTATTTAATTCCATCATCAAAATTAGAAATTACTATTTCACTTTTTTCCACTTTCATCAAAACATCTATAAAACAAGTCAGTTTTGCCAACTTTGCTAACTCTGCCATCTTCACAACCTATTCTTCCATTGTAGGTATTTCGATTTTTTCCATTTTTGCACATATTGCAATTGTAGAAAAATGCACTTACCATATATAAAATCTGCCTTTCATAAGTATTTTCTATCCATAAGTCCCAATAAGAAAAGTTCTGGTCCCTTAAACATCTTTGTTGCACTTCTCTGCTCTCTTTCTAGAGCAAGGGTGTCAAACTCGATTTCATTAAGGGCCACATCAGGGTTGTCTTTGGCCTCTGGGAAGTCAGGGTGAGCATGGCCAAGGTGGCATCAGGAGCATGACCAGCTTGACATCATTCATGTTGAAGGTGCCTGTGGTGGCCTGAGCACTCTGCCAGTGAAAAAAGAGTTTGGGAGGGCCGTGCACGGCCCTTGTGAGCTCCATTTTTGGCTGCAATAGCCTCCTGCAACCCTCTGCCAGCCAAAATGGCCCTCCAGAGCTCCGTTTTCATTGGCAGAGGCACCACAGACCAGATCTTCGCTGTTTCCATGGTGGCTCCATGGGCCAGGTCTAAGCACCCCACAGGCCACATCTGGCCCACAAGCCTTGAGTTTATGCCCCTGATCTAGAGTCTCAAAAAACAAATTATGTCATAGTGACCAAAACTGGATGCAATATTCCAAGTGTGGCCTTAGCTTACTATATATGAAATAGTAAATTCAATCCTTCTGTCCTTAAAAAAATAAAAAGTTCAGGTCTGTTGACCATCAAAAGCATTTTGCTCTTATCAGGGATTTAAATGGAGCAGACCTTCTTTGTCCATTTATTGCTGATGTAATCTCAGTTCCCACATTGATAAGGATTCAGAGGACAGTTTTATATGCAGCCACCTGCAAGGTTTATCCTTATCAGTGAACAGACCCACCAGAATTACCTGCTAGTTTACACAAAGACTATAAAAAAAAAGAAAATGAGCACAACTTCTTCCAATATGTTAGTGATATATTGCTGTACCCAGGAAATTGTTCAATTGCTGGGCTTCTTGGAATTCCATCCTTTTTCATTTTAGTGCCTCTTGCTAAAGATACTTAATGAGAATTGTGCTTGGAAAAGGAATGATTTCAGTTTATCGGAGAGGCTAAGAGCCTGACATCTGCTTTCTGAGAATGATGGGATTTATTGTCAAACAAATATAAGTGACACAGAGTTGGAGAAAGATGTTGGTATGATAATCAATCATATATAAGCAAGCTATTATGTGTAAGTTATCATCTTACCTACTTTGTCTTTGGGACAAAGTACACAGCTACATAAAGGTAAAGGTAAAGGTTCCCTGCGCACATATGTGCTAGTCGTTCCCGACTCTAGGGGGCGGTGCTTATATCCATTTCGAAGCCGAAGAGCCAGCGCTGTCCAAAGACATCTTCTTGGTCATGTGGCCGGCATGACTAAACGCCAAAGGCACACGGACCGGTGTTACCTTCCCACCAGGGGTGGTCCCTATTTTTCTACTTGCATTTTTTACATGCTTTTGAACTGCTAGGTTGGCAGAAGCTGGGACAAGTAACGGGAGATCCTCCCATTACATGGCAGTCGGTATTCGAACTGCTGAATTCCCGACTTTTCAATCAACATTGAGCCACCACGTCCCTTCATAGCTACATAGGGTACACGTACACATACACAGCTACATAGGGCAGCAATATTTATTAAACCACCGAGGTTTCAGAAGAAGTTATAAAATTTGGAAAAATCAGAATAACAAAAAAATGTTGGTTATTAGTTCAAGTCAAAGTTTATAGGCATGGAAACAAATCTTCCAAATGAACCAGGAAGTAAAATAATTTGACAAAACTATACATAACAGGTGTGCATAAAGCTTTATCAACACTTATTACAATGCATTTTATATAAAGTAAAAGTAATTCAGGTCTCCCAAATCTATACAGATTTGTCCACACATTTATATTTCAAATCATCGTTGCCCAATTGGTTTGATTCACATCTATGGCTACACAAAAAAAAGTACAAGCAATTATTTTACTTTATTATATACCACCCCACAGGATACAATTTATTTAAATGCAAAGTTTGAAAAGTAGATATATATATATATTTTTTAATAAACTGACTCAATTTCTACAGCAAATGTTCATTCCATTATGCTACCATTTAATCTTGCGTTTACAATCTTAATTTCACTGAAGTAACTGATAGAAATAAGTATTTTAATAACGTTTTAGCTATTAAATGCAGGTGCTTCTGGATAAAAGGGTATTATTGTTATTTTAAAATAATATCATCTTTATCAAAACTATATGCAAAGCATGGTGTAATTTTAATCAGCTAATGACCATAGAAATAAAGTATGAAATCATTCTGGAGATGTTTTCTTGTCCATTGCCCAAGTGCAATTCCGTAACAGTTTCCCACAAAGCAGTTCAAATTATCACAGATTAAATGCCCCTTGCTTTAATTCACTTCCATTCGTTAATATCTTGAGACCATGAGTTGGATAGTGAAATATGTTTCTTTATGATAAACAAGACAGAAGGGAGATCTTTCTTGGCACTTAGTTCATATCTAAGTGCTTTTCTTATAGCAGAGTGTCAAATATTTCATCAGGATATAAGAGGAAGCCTGAAAATATGCTGTCATCTTCAGCACTGACATAAACCCCATTCCAATCCCTTGTGACTTCTAGCCATACTTGGTCCCCTACATTTAACTTCAGAATCGTAAGGAAGGAAGCCTGATCTATCTCTTGGCCATAGAGTGTCTCCCGACTTCTGATCATCTTCTTGTTTTGACAGACAATACTGATGCGGGCAGGACGCCCTCGTATCGTCATGTGATAGGAGAAGATATAAGCCCCAGCAATGCTGCAATTAAATTTCCCTGTCAACGGATTATAATGTTCCTGGTCATTGTACAGTATCTTGTCAAACTTAATGGGCAGGTTTGGAGGTGGGAAAGGTTTGGATAGACCAACGCTAAATGCTGATCTGGGGAGGGTTGGAGTTTCACCTTTTGGACCTTTTGGGCCTCTTGCACCTTTTTTACCAGGGGTTCCTCTGATTCCTTTAAAACCAAGACTTCCTTTCACCCCTGGAGGCCCCATCAAACCAATTGGACCTTGGTCGCCTTTGTCACCCCTAATTCCAGGTTGCCCTTTTTCTCCCTTTTGCCCATCCTCCCCATGTCCACCTTCTACTCCTATGTCTCCTTTAATGCCCTTTTCTCCTTTTGGCCCAATGTCACCCTTATCTCCTCTTTCTCCTTTTTCCCCTGGATCCCCCAAATAGCCCTTTTCGCCAAGGTCCCCCTTTTCTCCTTTTTCCCCATTTTCCCCATCAACACCTGGTAACCCCAGTTCCCCCATGTCTCCTTTCTCTCCTTTGGTGCCATTCTCACAATTTTCCCCCTTGGAGCCCTTTTGTCCTTTGACTCCAGGAAGACCATGGTTTCCTTTATCTCCTTTAAATCCAACTTCCCCTAGAAGTATTAAAGACAGAAGGAAAAGGTTAGAAGGAAAAACGTCAAGCAACATCGTGCTCCAGTTCATGCATCAGCTCAAAATTGCCAGGTCCCTTATTTTTATAGAAAATGCATTTGCCCTCTTCCCGTCACCATAATGACTTGGTTTCTAAGAGTCCGTCCCTTTCACAAAGCATGTAGAAGAAGAATACTATGTAGATATGGGCAGGAGGCATGCAAGTATACAGGTATATCTGTGAAGAAATTATTGGTTGGAATAGGTGTGTGCTGGAGCTAGGTAGTCCTCCACTATGGGAAGGAGTCCAATGTCTTAATAATTGCATGGACTACATTTAAATATGACATATTTCTGTGCAATTTTAAAATGCATATGTCAGACAAGCACCAGAATACATAAAAAGCCTTTTCAAAGTAATTAATACATACCCAACCCTATGAGAAAAAAACTATCCACACATTGTGTTAATTATTATTATTATTATTATTAATAATAATAATAATAATAATAATAATAAATTATTAATATAATAATAATTAAGGACACTGGCAGCAACCCGTATCAACCATTAGCATCAGTCAATGGTGTTTGTGATCCATTTTTGAATGTCAGTTGACTGAATTTCATATTTAATGAATAAAGTAAATAATAATAATAATAATAATAATAATAATAATAATAATAATAGTGATAATGGATAATCTCATAATAATGGTACTTATTAAAATATTCCAAAGGCATTTAGAGTTGAAGATAATAAAAATAGGGTTCCTTCCAGTGACTCTCAGCCAACCATCATTATGCTGAAATAATTCTAATCAAGATATGCTGTCTCAAAAATTTCTGAGGGACACAAGAAGATGTTATAAGTCACTTTATGTGGAAATGGCTATGATAATCCATTTTCAAGGATTATATATATCTCTCTCAACCTAGGGCCACAAAGAAAGAGAACCTCATGCCTCATAGGTACTTTACTTCCTTGTTTTTCCTCAGATTTTATGCAATATACCTGGGTCTCCGGGCTTGCCTGGGTATCCTGGGAGTCCATTTGCTCCTTGATCACCATGTTCTCCTTTATCTCCTATGACATTGTTCCAAAATATTATATATATATATAAGTATTAATGCACATTCACCACCTCAGTGTTGGCATTTTCTCAAAGTCGAACCCGAAGCAAAAGTTGAGTTGTCCTGAATGGGCCCTCTCAATGCTACGTCCTCTTCCTCATCATCATCACTTAGGAGGTACTATAAGAAAGCTTATAGCTCTTTGTTTTGCAGAGATAGGACATTTTGGAAATATAAGTTTCTTTTAACTTCCCACTCTTGAAAAATAATCAAGAAATAATGGCTGCCAATTTGCTTCTGAATCCAATTCAAGGTTATCACCTTTAAAGCCTTTCATGGTGTGGGTCCAAGTTAGTTGATAAACTGGGTCACCCAATAGGATTGGCCTGCTCTACCTGCACAGATCCTAAGAGGCATGCTACAGAACCCACGAGCCAAGGAATTTCAGCTGGTAAGGTCCAGAAATAGAACATTTTCTGCCATGGTTCCTGCCCTCTAGACTATCTACCCCTCCCCCCTTGATCAAATTCTGTTTGGCCTTCCAAAAGGCCTTGAAGATGTGGCTATGCCAACTAGTCTGGGAGCCCAATGAAGATGTGGCACATTGCAGGTAGTTGATGGAGTAGAGCAGGGGTGTCAAACTCACAGCATCACATTGTTGTCACATGACATATCATGACTTTTTTCCACTTCTCTAAACCAGGGGTGGGCGTGGCCAGCGTGTGATGTATCTGGTCTGCAGACCATGAGTTTGACACCCCAGGAGTAGAGAATACCTCATCTCCTCCTTGCGCGTACTTTGTTCCCTCCATCTCCATCCTGCTTAAATTTATTGTAATTGAATTTTTAACTTTAAGACCTCTATTTATTGTTTTATTGGTTTATACTGTAGTTTTTTTCTTTGTCTATAAGCCATCTAGAGTTGCCTTTGCCAAGATGGGCAGCATATAAGATTGATAAATAAATAAATGGGAGAAGATGACTGAAGTCAGAAATCAAAGGTTGTTTTTATTGTTTCCTAATTTATTGGGAGACTAACTCTAATTAAGGCTCCTCGTCCCATGTCTTAGCTCTGCTTTCTTTATCACTTCAATAGGTCAACTAAATACATGAAAGTGCACTTTTTACATTTGGAAAATATTGCTAAATCAATCCAGTCCATGGAGGTGGTGATGGTTGTTTTTAAGAATTTTAATGTTCTTACCTTTGTTTCCTTTGAATCCTTTTGATCCTTGTAATCCAGGAGTTCCTGGTAGACCGGGACGGCCTTTTTCTCCTACTTCTCCTTTAAGTCCTATTTTTTAAAAAACAAGGAAAGTACATTATTTGAAAAGATTCATATGTCACAATGTCTTTAGTACTGTTATTTTGTTATTTTGCTATCCTAAGTCTTTGGATTCCCTCAAAATTTCCATTTTATTAGAGATGTCGTATTGGCACATCTGTCAGGTCTTCCCCACCCAAAGGAAAGTTCAAGTCCCTCCCAACACCCACATGTCCATCACATGGTCCAATCAAAGCTCCGTCCCAACTGGACATGCCTCCCAGTTCCAGCCTTCCAGCTGCAGAGCAATATGTCCTTGATTTTCTGAGAAATGAATATTATTATGACTATATATCACCCTGGCTCCGCACAATTCCCCCCTCCCAGTTTCCCACAGTAGTAAATGTGGCAGGCCTGAAGATCCAATGAAAAAGATGGCTTCCAGGCCTGACACTACTGTTATTTGCTACCTGTAGAATAGGAAGGCTGCCTCTGAAAGTAATTATTATGTGTTACAGTTGTTGAAAATCAACAACAAACTTTCAAAGCTACTGATAGGCTTTTCACCATGAAAAATAGATAAAACTGCTCAAATTAAAGAGGAGCAAAGTGAGCTTTCTTTTGTTTTTGAAGTTACCCACTTTATCTGCTGTTATGCTGCTTCTTCGCCCCACCCATCCTAGAACCTACACAGAGTTCGAAAACAGATTCATACCTCCATCTGTTGCCAAAGATGGGAGGGGGGGAAGACAGTTGGTTCATATCTTACTAATACTGTAGATGCATTACAGTATTTCATATTCATGTTGGTTTAGATTTTCCTTGAAAAGAATCTAAGAACAGATTGCTTTTCCAATCTAAATAAAGATTGATTTTATACTAGTTTAGGGCCTTCTGAATCAGCATTGGCATCCTGGCTGTCTCCTTGGCAGCTTCTCAAAAGAATAAAAAAATTATTTTACTTTTACATGGTAGCTCAAGAAATATATGTTTGAGTTAAGGAGTGTTAACAGAGCAGGGGGCTGCATCTTGTCCCTCTTCTATAACACCTCCTTAACTCAAACTAGTATTGAAAAGAGCAGTGATGGTGCAGTGGGTGGAATGCAGTACTGCAGGCTACTTCTGCTAACTGCTGGCTGCAATTTGGCAGATCAAATCTCACCAGGTTCAAGGTTGACTCAGCCTTCCATTCCTTCTGAAGTGGGTAAAATGAGAACCCAGATTATTGGGGGCAATATGCTGATGCTTAGAGAGGGCTGCAAAAACACTGCCAAGCAGTATATAAGTTTAAGTGCTATTGCTATTGTCCTGAGTATACATGACTTATGTGCAAGCTCAGGAAAAGTCACAGCCCCTTTAAGAAACAGTCAAATGATAATGCTGCTCTGCTCGATATAAAACACCTTTGCTTAACCTGAATATATATCAAGCCAGTGGCCCATCTAATCCAGCATTCTAAATGATATCGTATCGGAATCAGTCAGGATGCATTCAGAAAGAAAGTTCATAAATGAATCAGAAGTTGAGCATCCACTTCTACCATTGCTTCCTACCAGCTGATATTTAAGGCAATATGCTTTTAGTGCACTCATTAAGGCTAGCAGCTACTGACAATCTGTTTCTCCTGTCCAATTTAGCATATCTAAATTAGTAAGTCATTACTAAATTTGAAAAGGACATCATTAAACTTGAAAGTGAGAAATTCTACAAGTAAACAGTTGCTTTTTATGCTGGTTTAGGACTGTAGCAAAGGTTTGATTTGATTTGATTTGATTTGATTTGATTTGATTTGATTTGATTTGATTCTAGTTGCTTTTCTCTACCTGGCAATCCTGTTTCTCCAGGTTCCCCTTTCTCCCCTGGAGATAAAGCACAACAATCACAGCAGTTAAAAAAGAAGTCCGAAGAGTCCAGAGTAAAGTTTTCAAATGGGAAGAGTGTGGTGGCTGTTCTGAAGGCATAGTGTGGTGTAGACAATTCTGTTGTGACATCATTCTTTTCAGGTATTTCGGTGAGGAGGCTGTCTTCCATAGGGGCTGCCTCAGAAGCATCTGGGTTCTTAGTGGTTTCCATCTCAATAGCTTTTATTTTAGTAAACTTTGGAAATGGGGTGCTTTTTCCCTCAATAGTAAGATCAGCAATTGTCGTTAGTAGGAAGATGCAGGACCAAATCAGACACCACATTTTTGCAGCTGTAGGAACAATTAATGCAACAGTATATCATAACATAAATATTTATACATCATATATATATTTACTTGTTAAGTTGTTAAGAAAACTATTAAAAGAAAAGGCAATAAGGGCAATAAGGGTGATTCTTTTTGTTATATACACAGTCGGCATCCTTGTTCTACAAAATTGAACTAAGCTATGGTAAAATATCTCATTTAAATCTGAAAGTGTATTTCCAATAAAAAATAATGTGTATGCATGGGTGCAATTCCCCCATTTTCTTTTATTGAATTTGTTTTTTAGTGTACAATTCTTTATTTTTTACATCTTTTGATGAAGTAACCAGCTAAGATACACATGCTGTGCATCCAATTTCCTACTTAGAATAAAATTCAGTAATATTACACCAATGATGTATGCCAAGCAATTCCAGCTAATTAAAACTGTACCTGTTCTCTTCTTTATGTACATGCCTCATACATCTCCAATAATGTCCCATACCTAAGCAGCGGGCTGGGAACAATTAAAATAATACGGTGACATCTCACTTGATTACTCATCTTTCTTTTTCATGCTCTTATGGAATTACTCTTCCATAAGGTGATGAATAGCATAATCACTAACTACCAAGTATGTTGACTTCATTTTCAGCATTATTTTTAACCTGGTCCATTTTCCCTCCCATAAGAATTCCAGTCTATGTGCCATCCTTATTTCATCTGTTACTGTGGCATTTGGTCAATTGGACATGTTTTCCTCAATGTAAAGAATCAAAATCCAAACAACTGTTTGACACACTCAGAGCAATAAATCCAGGGCTGCCTTTGACACCCATATTACATGTCAAGCTTATGTTCACTATTGAACATAATAGGAAAGTGTTAATCCTTGACTTCCAAAATTTATGTTGCTGTTTCTGTTGCTAAATACAATAGTTGTTAAGTTTTACCCCATTTTATGACCTTTTTCACCACAGTTGTTAAGTGAATCACCACAGTTGTTAAATCAGTAACTCGGTTGTTAAGTGAATCTGGCTTTCCCATTGACTTTGCTTGTCAGAAGGTTGCAAAAGGTGATCTTGGGAGCCCCATGACCTGGGGGCACTACAACTGTCATAAATACATGCCAGTTGCCAAGCATCCAAATTCTGATCACGTGACCAGGAGGATGCTGCAACAATTGTAAGTGTAAAAATGGTCATAGGTTACTTTTTTAGTGCCGTTGTAACTTCAAACAGTCACTAAACAAACTGTTGTAAGTTGAGAACCACTTGTATATGGAAAGAAAATATGGAACCAGTACTGTACAGCAAATGGTGAAATTAAGAAAGCTGAAGATTAATAAAGCTTACTCTTGAAGATTTGTAATCTTATATTTTTGGGTATCAATCAACAATCATCAACTCTTACCTCTGGCCTTTACCTGTTCAATGGAATGGTGATCTTCATACATTGAGATATGCTTGGACTCTCCATGTAATCAAAACTTCTATTTCACAAGCTCCCTAACTGCATAGAAAATCATTATTGTAAGGAAGCTAATCAGGCTGAAAATAAGTGCAAAATGACCAGAAGAGAAAATTGGTTTGACAGTAGACATTAATAGACTTGTCTGTATCTGTATCACACTAGTATAGAGTATGCCCAAGGCAAACCTGTCCTAACTCCATGCCACAGAAAAGACTAGTTGTAGTCTTGTGTAACAAGACCATATATTCCTACATTAAACCAAACTTTAAAGGGTCTCCAAACTTGACAAGTTTAAGTCTTACAGACTTCTCCATGTCCTGGCTGGGGAATTCTGGGAGTTGAAGTCTCCCAGTTGAAGTCTCCACAAGTCTTAAAGTTGTCAGGTTTGGAGACCCCAGCACTAAAAGATAACACAGAACCTCTAAGCAAAAGCAACGAAGGAAGGCTTGAGCAGGCTGGAAGACTTCAAATCCCATTCTATTTGGGGATGTGGATGCAATAATACTCACTACCCTTCAAAATGGATCCTCTTAGATGATCCTCTTTGGTTACAAGAATTCCTATACCAATTCCTATACCAATTCTTATACCAATTCCTATACAGTCATAAAGGTAAAGGTAAAGGTTCCCCTCGCACATATGTGCTAGTCATTCCCGATTCTAGGGGGTGGTGCTCATCTCCATTTCTAAGCCAAAGAGCCAGCTCTGTCTGATGACAATTCCGTGGTCATGTGGCCAGCATGACTAAATGCCAAAGGTGCACAGAACGCTGTTACCTTCCCACCAAGGTGGTCCCTATTTTTCTACTTGCATGTTTACATGCTAGGTTCGAACTGCTAAGTTGGCAGAAGCTGGGGCAAGTAATGGGAGCTCACTCCGTTACATGGCGCTAGGGATTCGAACCGCTGAACTGTCGACCTGTCTGTTCAACAAGCTCAGTGTCTTAGCCACTGAGCCACTGCGTTCCCATACACAACACAGTCATAGAAATAGCTAAATGGATACTTTTATCAAAATAACATTCTTCTGTGTCATGAATCTCAAACAGACTTTCCATATCTTTGCTTTAAGATTAAAACTGGATGGAGAAATTCGCAGGCTTTGCAAGGAAACCATTTCATATCTATCTCAGGAAAAGCATACATGATCTAATAATCTGTCCAAATGTTCTTTCTCAGAAGTAGAGTAGAAATATTTCTCCTATGCAAGATCAAATACAAAAATCCAACCATTAACTACTGGTGATGAAAATGTTGTTTAATATTACTAATAACAATTTTTAAAAAAATTATGGATGAGTGGGAGTTTGTTCTTCTGCTACCCTATTTCCCCCAAAATAAGACACCCCCTGATAATAAGCCCAATTGGGCTTTTGAGTGCATGGCAATATGGCCAAGCACTTATTTCAGAGTTCAAAAAAATATAAAACAGGGTCTTATTTTCGGGAAAACACGATATATAAGCCTGAGTGAACAGGAACATTCTGAGAGCCAAAAAAAAAATATTTCAAAGTAGCTCATTCAGAGCACTACAGAGCTAAATAACTGTGAGATGATTTCATAATGACTATCAAGTCAAGCTCAATTACACACATTAAAAGGTTTTAATACGAAGCAAATTTAGATGCTTGTAACTCAATGCAATAGGAAGACATTTCTTTGGGCTATAACTTATTCTGTATGTTCATAAGATTTCATATAGATTTTCTTATTACAAGATGGGTGTTGTGAGACCAAACCAAATAACTAGCATATTGCTTCATGAGCTTTCCAGAGACTCCCCTTGGTTAACTAAAACAAAATATCAAAAAGTAGTTTCACACAGCCAATAGACTGTGTTACCCATTTATGTAGTAACATATCATTGGGGAATGTTTCTTTCAAAATCACCTCCAGCTTAAAGATTTAGTAAAGCTCATTTGGCTTAAATGCACCTGTGACTGGGGCCTCTTCCTTCAAATGAAATGCAGTGTATACTTCCATCTGGAACAATCTAGAGAAGAAATTTATGCGCTGTTTTAAATCTTTCTTTCTGAGGCTTCCAAATTCATTCTGCCTTGAGCTGCCTTGAGCAGCCTAGCTATAAGCTCCAAATGTAGTCAAAATGTCCATTTGAAGCCACTCACATTATCAGTGAAAATATACATTTGAATCATATGGGACTGGATGCTGTCCACTCTTCCTCTTGTCAGAATTATATCTATACTATCCTATGTGCTTGTGATGTGTTCAAACTACAAGGTAGGCCTTGATTTATGACCACAATTAAGCCCCAAATGTCTGTTGTGAAACATTTGTTAAATGAGTTCTGCCCCATTTTACAACCTTTCTTGCCACAGTTGTTAAGTAAATTATTGCAGTTGATAAGTTAGTAACATAGTTAACAGTAACAGAGTTGGAAGGGACCTTGGAGGTCATCTAGTCCAACCCTCTGCTCATGCAGGAGACCTGGACTAGGGATTCGAACCACCGAACTGCTGACCTTTCTGATCAACAAGTTCAGTGTCTTAGCACTGAGCCACCTAGTCAGAGTTCTTAAGTGAATCTGTCTTCCCCATTGATTTTGCTTGTCAAAAGGTTGCAAAAGTGATCACATGACCTAGGAAGGAAGGAAGGAAGGAAGGAAGGAAGGAAGGAAGGAAGGAAGGAAGAAAGGAAGTTAAAGTTGTTAAGATAATCTTTCCCAAAACGAAAATTAGAAGGAAAAAAAATAGAAGCACATACAAAATCCTATATAATACTCAGCTTCTCCCATAAACAAATGGTTATCTTTCTGACATAACCACAGAAAGAAGAAGAGGGGCACAAAAATTAGAAGAACTGAAAAGAAAGAGAAATTGGGGGGGAGAGACAAAACAGGACCAAGGGGAAAGGGAGAATTATACAAAAGCAAAGAGAAGGGAAAAAAGATAAAAGTTCCGCTTGGGTGATCACAGAGTATGTAAAGCTCAGTGTCCAAGTAATAGTCACCATCTCCTCACATTTATAAAACTGCAGAATAACATGAGTGAATTACCATTTGATTCAAATATGGTATGACTGAATGCAATAGGAAGCCTTTGCTGCAGGACAATAGTAGCCTGACTATATTTGGATCCACTGCTACGTGGTTTTATCTAAATAGCATATCACTAATTCCGTTCTCTTCTAGTGCTGTTATCTTTGGGGGGAAATGTCTTTGTGTGCATGTATTTTTAATGTATTTGAATTTAGGAGCAAAACAGTAATTTTTACTTTGCTATCATCACTGTACGACTAGTTCACTTCAGAGAGTACTTTGTCCCCAACGTGGTGAGAGATCTGTGTTGCCAAAAAAAACCTGATAATAAGACACCAAGCTCAGGATCCCTAGCTTTAAGGCCAGCCAAGAGACAAACAAGAGAGAGGTTGTTTCAAAGACGCTGACAGTGGGTTCAAACAAGATGTGAAGGGTTATATGGTCAGTCTCCTATTCAGGTCTGCTCTGGTATGTTCTACTCCAAACAACTGTAGACAATCTGTTGCATTGTAAGAGTTCCATAACTCAAACAATTAGCAAGGTAAATGGCCTGT